AATGTCTTCTTTTACAACCATTTACTTGGCAAACATTTACCTATTAAGTTATTGTCTCCAATGGGTTGGTAGCTATCAAAAAGCTTCTGTCATCTAACTTTGTATGTCAGGTTAATTTTCTGCTTTCAGAAAGTACTGTCAAAGCTTCACATTTAGTAGATATGTTTATCTAGATAAGTGAGATTATTTACATACTATCTAGATGAGATTACATTATTTACATACTATCTAGATGAGATTTTATTTACACAGTATCTAATAATGTGTCAAGTGAAAACAGGCATTATGAGATGTTTATTAGAAATGTAATTAGAGGCTGGGCACAGTGAGTGGTTCCTACCTGTAATACTAACATCTTGGGAGGCTGAGGTGGAAGGATTGCTTAAGACCAGGAGTTCAAGACCAGGCTGAGCAACAGAACAAGACCCTGTCTCTACAAAAAAATAGAAAAATTAGCTGAGCATGGTGGTATACACCTACAGTCCCAGCTACTCAGAAGGCAAAGGCAGGAGGATCACTTGAGCCCAGGAGTTTGAGATTGCAGTTAGCCTCAATGATGCCACTGTACTCTAGCCTGTGCATCAGAGTGAGGCTCTGTCTAAAAAAAAAAAAAGTAATTGAAGCTAAGTGTGGTGGTACATGCATTTAGACCCAGCTACTCCAGAGGCTGAGGTGGGACAATCAGCACAGAAGTTCAAGACCAGCCTGGAAAACAGAGCAAGACCCAACTCTATTTAAAAAAAGGAAAAAAAAAAAACAAACAAAAAAGAAATGTAATTGGTAAGAACGAAGTTCTTTTTGCTCAGTGTAGAATTATACACTTATCTTACTCTAAGTAAAACTGACTTACAGAATATATGAAGTAGCAAGTTAATTATGCTTGACCTTAAGAAGTTATTAGGTTGGCTATATTACATATGCTATATTGGCACTGCTCGGGTCATGTCTATATTGCAGATGTGGAGGGGATAAAAGGAAGAGTTGCTCTGAGAGTTTAAATTGGGAGCTAGGCTGAGTGTGGTGGCTCACACCTGTAATCCTAGCACTCTAGGAGTCCGAGGTGGGAGGATGGCTTAAGGTCAGGAGTTAGAGACCAGCCTGAGCAAGAGCGAGACCCCTCTCTACTAAAATAGAAAAATTAGCTGGGCATGGTGGTGAGTATCTGTAGTCCCAGTTACTTAGGAGGCTGAAGCAGGAGGATTGCCTGAGCCCAGGACTTTGAGGTTCCTATGAGCTAAGCTGAGGCCACAGCACTCTAGCCTGGGCAACAGAGTGAGACTCTGTCTCAAAAAAAATAAAATAAAATAAAATAATAAAATGGGAGCTAGGCTGCTGTCAAATAGGATGTAGTTGTGGGGCTTTATACCACAAGGAGACATAATAATTTAAACTGTCAGAAAAATTTTTTAATTCAACTTTTCCTTAGAAAGATATCTACATCAATAAGAGAAATGAAGTAAAAACAGAGTTCGCATTATGGGAACTTCCTTTATAGGAGCCTTGACTGGAATGTAATTCTGTATACCAAAGGACACCTATTAATATATTTGGTCAACTGTTTGTTATTAGAGGAGGGCATAGCACTCTATTCTTTTACTATAATTCTAGTAGCTAGAGTACCAGGTCAAGGTAGTGACAATGGCAGTATCTTTCATGAATAACAAAAATGGATAATCCAATTATCTAAGATACTTAAAAGATGAAATATAAGCCAAAAGGCAATTCCTGACCTAAATTCAGAAATATACACCATTTACAGAGATACTGTTATTCTAAAAAGTATGATAAATGCTTTATTTTAAAAAGGACATAAAAATAAGTTCTAGAGATCTGCTGTACACCACTGTGTCTATAGTTAACAATATTGTGGTGTACACCTAAAAATTTAAGGTAACTTGGCCAGGCGTGGTGGCTCACGCCTATAATCCTAGCACTCTGGGAGGCCAAGGCGGGAAGATCGCTCAAGGTCAGGAATCTGAAACCAACCTGAGCAAGTGCAAGACCCTGTCTCTACTAAAAATAGAAAGAAATTAATTGGCCAACTAAAAAACAAAACAAAACAAAACTTAAGGGAACTCTCATGTTAAATGTCCTTACTACACTAAAAAAAAAAAGCTTCTTAACCACAATGAAAAAATAAAAGACATTTTAAAAAGTTGACACTATACTGAAATTATAGAGGTTATACATGCAGTTAGTTAGCTTTTGTGTTTTCCTAAATTATAAAAGTAATTTGTACTTATTATGGGATGTTCAAAAAATATAGGGAAAAAGCCACCCATAATCACATCAGCAAGGAATAACCACTACTCTTTTTTTGGTATATTCCAATCCCATGTCTGTGTGCACACACACACACACATATTTTAACAAAAGGAATAGCATTAATACAATTTTGTATCTTTTTTCACTCTTTTAATAGATGCATTTCTCCTATCATAAATGTTTTTCAAAAACATGATAGTCCATCTTATGGATATGCTTTCTTATTGCTCATTTTGGTTTCTTTTTAAAAATATTATAACATTTAAATGAATACCTTGTATGGGAAAGTCTTGGTCCACAGCTCTGATTATTTCCTTAGACAATTACTTCTCAGTGTATTGATGGGTCAAAAAGTAAGGATATTCTTAAGACTCATGAAAAGATTGACAAGTTTCTCTCTTGAAAGGGTATATTCTACTCTATGAACTCTAACCAATGACGTGTGAGAGTGCCCACCTCTCCATGCAGTTCCTGACCTTACAAGAGAATTATATTTTTATGAAGCTTAGTAAAAAAACAAGAACAAGACACACTTGTTACCTTACCCACCTGAGTTTAAAATATAAAAGCTTAAGGCAATTAATAGTAGTATGCATCTATGCATTACCAATACATATTTTGAGAATGGTAATAAAATTTACAGGGTAGAAATAAAATAAACATACTGGCCTTAGAAGCATCTTAGAAATCATCTAGCTAAACACCTAATTTTGTGAGTGAAAAAAACAGATGCCCCTCACCTCAAATGGAGACTTCTCAATTGTACACAGCAAGCTAGATTCTGAGTTTTCTAATTCTTAGACTATGCAGAAGATAACTCACGAATTCAATGTCCTTATTCATAAATGAAGACATTTAATCATTATGATTAATCATTTACAGATTTTTAATCTCTAAATCCCTTCTAAAATTCTACAATGCTTACAAATTAGGTTGTAAGAGGCTCTCCAGCAAAGGTGAAAGCACAGAACCTGGTTCTGAATATCTAGGTTCAAGGACCAATTTTACCTTTCATAAAATAAAGACTTTTTAAGTACCTACCTCATAATGTTGCTGGAAAGATTAATATGTGGGAATTTTGTAAACTGGTAAACTATATAAATGAAAGGTATTTTAATTACATGTGTGTGCAAATACTGTGAAAACTGTAAATACACATTTAAAGTGTTATGGTAGAGCATAAGTATTAACCCAGAAAGGTCCCAAAGAGAGTTGGACTCTATTGAACTGTGATTTCAAGGAAATGCAAAACAAATATTACATAGGTTAGCAGGTACAACGCACTTTCATGAAAATGGGCATATTTGAACAAAAGCTGTGGCTGAAGTATGGCCAGATAACTTATCATAAATGTATAGAATGAACAGAACAGCCTGGTGTTATGGAAGAACATACCAGGGTGGTTTATTAAGTCAGCTGCTACAAAAAAAAATGGTATTTTTAGGTAAGGATAGGAGAGCCTGAAGAAATGTATATTCCCATTGTTTAAGAAAGAAGTATAACCAGTTAATCAACAGCTACATCAAGTTCTACTAGAGGGAGTGCCTATGTAAATGAAATTCTGCTTTTAAAATGTCTATCATATAAAGGTCTCCAGAGTCAGAGAAAACTCAAGCCCTGTTCTGCACACGCTAGCAGCCTAACAATTCACTAGGCACAAAAGAAAAAAAAAAAACTTAAAAAAAAAAAAATGCTGAAGTCTTTCTTTGCAGCATAAATCCTTGAATACATTTTAAACAATTGCTACATAAAGAATTGCCAAATATGGATCCTATTTTTCTGAGTTTTCACAAAATATGAAAAGAACAAAGACCACTAATGAAAAGAAGTGGATGGGAACATCTATATTCTAAATATAGCTCTATTTCAAAAGGTTCTGCCGGGCCTATTGAAATTGGATGCTTTTTTTTTTAATGTGGGAATAACATAGGGAAAGGTGTTATAGTTTACCTCTGTCCCCTACAAGCAGGTGTATTCGGTGGGTTACTATTCCCAGGGCAAAGCAATCAGGGTTTTGGGGTTTTTTTTTTCACGTTTTCACTGACTAGAGGCTACTGCAAAAAAGAAGAAAGAGAACGGTGTTATGCATTTATTTGCACAGGATCCGCCGTCTTGACCCCCAATTTTATCAATCGGCCCCCACAAATAAAGCCAGCCTGTTCGGTCCTGGGAAGAGGCAGGAGCCTGAGAGCCTACAGCTCTTTGTACTAAGCAGCTTCTCGATTAGGGCGCCCCCGGTCGGCACCATGCACTCTCCAGGTTCAGCGCCAGACGGCGGCGGCGGCGTGCTCTAACCACTGGTTCATCACACTCGCCTTTTCTTTTCTAGGAGATACCAAGACGCAGGCATGCTCCGGCTAGGCATGCTCCGGACAGAACAGGTTTTCTCCAGCGCCCACCCGCACGCCGCTCCTCCCACGCCCTGTCACAGCGCCTCGCCCGCTTCCGCCGTGCAGCCGGCACTGAAGCTCAGGCTGAGCTGTCGCCAGCCCCCACCCACGCAGGTCCCTGCCGGCCTGGGCCAGTCCCCACCCTCGCAGCAGGCTCGGGGACCACCCCCTCCCCCGAGAGGAGCCGGCCGGCGGGTACTTATCTCCGACCTCTGGTGACGCGGGAGGAACCCCAGATGGAAGCCGCGCAGCCGCCGGTCCTCCCGCCGCGGGGACGGAACGGTACGCGCTGGGCACCGCGGCAAAATGGACTCGCGGCGCCAAGCGTGCCCCGCCCCGCCCCGCCCCGCCCCCCAGGCTCCGCCTCCGCGGCCCGCTTCGCCTTTGTCCCGCCTCCCTGTCGCGCCTCTCCCCAGAGGTGGTGAGGCGGCGGTCTTTCCGGGTCTGCGCCCGCCACTCCCCGCCGCCGCACCCCCGCGGGCTGCCTGCGATGGGGGAGGGTCGCGGGCTGCTCGCTTTTCTCCCTTCCAGGGCGCTCCCCGCGGCCCTGGGAAGCGGACGCCATTCTCCTAGACGAGGCGGTCGCCCTGGAGGGAGCGCAGGCGACCGGACGCGGCGCGGTCCCCGGTGGAGCCACCCGGGAAGAAAGTCTCCCAGTTAAGCCGACGCGCAATCAGATGGTTGGGTTTGGATTGTTGTACTTTTTTTTTTGTTCGTTGCATTTTTAGGAACAAAAAAAAAAGCCCAACCCTTCACACCACTTCATTTGCATCTCTCAGGACCAGAAACCGGCCGCAGCGGCGAGGGGAACGGAAACCACTGCCCCGCACCCCACAACGGGGAGGGCGGGACGGGCCCATCTGCGCCGCGCGCCCCGCCGAGTCGCCGTCTTGCGGTGGGACAGCGCCGAGGCTGTAGCCGGGGGCTCTGGCCAGAGCGAGGTTGACAGTCACCCCCCAGGCCACACCCCCAACCGTGCACCTATTTATTTGCGGGCTTTAGGCAGAACACCAGCGATCCAATTTGTTTTTAAATTCTCTTTCAAGAACAAGAACACCACTGCTTTTTCCCTTTAAGGGAAGAAAGAACTTTAAAATTGGCCGCTAACAGTTATTCATTCAGTCGCTAACCTGACTTTCTCGGTGCTGACGTCCACCCCAGTATGGGAACCTTGTCCCATAGCAGTCGCATTAAGCACTTATCAATGAGCAGTCTGGGAAGGATACAAAGATGAATGGAGAAGGAATAGCACCTCTTCAAAACTTACAATCTTGGGAAGAGTGAGACAAGTACAAAATCACAGATTATGCTCGAGGGAGTTTGTTCTGAGTTGGGAAAGTCTGGGCTTTGGGAGGAGGTAAGAGGTTACTTTGGAGAAAGGGCAGTCAAAACCTACCATACACAGTATTTGGGGCCCTTAACTAATAGCCCAAATCCCATACAAAGCCCTTGGCCACACCCTTCTACTGAGAAGCCCACGTCCTTGTACGCATCTACCTTGCTACAACAAGGTAATAAACCTAACTCTGCCTTTGTAGAACAACAGTTCCTATAATTTCTGACATTTAGGCTTCATAAGAATACTGTGGAATGGAAATTATGATCCTCACAGGTGATGTGACTTCTCTAAGGTAAAAAAGAAGAGGCAGAGCTGAGGCTAAGATCAGATACCAGGTACAGGTTCTTTCTACAGCTGTCAATGTCAGTGACAGTGAAAACTGCACCCAAGTTCCCTACTAAACTAGTGTTTTTTTAAAAAATAGAGTGATTTATAGAAACATTTCAAATACTCTAATATTAAAATGATACAAGAGTGAAAGGTGATTAACTCAAAACCACAAATTATCCCTAATATAATTATAATTATATAATACATATATATGTAGTTAGATCTGACTGGTGGAAGATACTAATTAATAAACTGCCCAATTAAATGAAAAACACTCATTAAATCTGCACAGCAATCCCTAGATTGTTAAACAAAATGACTAACGTACTTGGTATATTAAACTCTCTTAAGTGTGGAAAAATGGGGAAGGAAGAATAACATCTCTCTTCCCATGGTCCTAATACACAAAACACCAGCCAGGGAACTGCCACATGAGGTATGACTAGAAAAAGAGAGTAACTGCCTAATAAAAACCTGCATACACAGCTACATCCTTCCTGGAGGAGCACAGTACAACTAGATCCTGGTAGAGATAACACAGGGATTGTCCACATTCTCCTTGCACTGGAATTTCCTTCTATTTACTATTCTTCAAATAAGTAAACTAACAGCTGAAGCTTGGAATTCATATATCAGCACAGCAATAAGACAATAGATATAGGTAACCTTATGTAAGTTTCTGTCTTTTGGGATAAATATATTTTACAAGGTAAAATTTCTAGTATTATATATATCTAAATATATAGCAAACACATATATAAAAGAATATGTTAATATATATTCTTATTGTTGTATAGATTTATTTCATGATGTTGTTTTTGTCTTGGCCCTTGAAAAGGTAAAAATTTCTCCACTCTTCTCCCCACCCACCAAGACATAAGTGATCAGATGTTCCATAACAAAAGGGACAGTGCCAAATTTAGTGTACACTGAAATGTAAATTATCAAAGTGAGGAAGCCTAATAACTAGGCCTGGAGCAACTGTGTGTGGGAGAGGAGGGCTGGCGGGCCTCTCCAGATACACTGGAACATTTTATTATTATCCTATCCTTCCCTATAGCTGCCAGAGTTATGAATTCCCTAATGAGAATTCCTGCCAATAAAAAGCACTGGCATTGCAAGGTGGTGTATCAAAAAGAACATAGGCTTTGGAATCAGTTTTGCATCTAAACTCTAGCTCTGCCACTTACTAGTTATTCAAGTTATCATCTCTAAGCCTCAGTTTTCTCCTCCGTAAAATGGGAATCATGGTACACTTGATTATGATAATTAGGTAATATATAAAGCAACCAACACTGTATCTGACATATAGTAGGAGTTTAATAAATGCCTGTTGCTGTTATATGCAAGAAGAAAATCATGCTTGTTTGGATTGCATTTGCCCTAGATTTGTAAAGTGGGAGCTCAGGCACAATAGTCTCAAACAGAGCTAAACTGCCTATGCAGTAGAGGAAGCTGGCACCATAATTCCTTTTCTCCATCTAGCCCAGGGTGACCTTGTAAAAGCATATATTCTTCCACTTCTATACCTCTTCCCTTGTGCTTGGGAAAGAAGAGAAAAAGGAAAAACATCAAACTCAACAAAAGGAAGACTTTACTGGGTTTTTTTTAAAGCTCTATATTTTCAGAGAAATTGAAAAATCAAAATATTCCACTAAAAGACAGGCAAAAATACATTTTTTATATCTACCTGTAAAAACACACTTATCATAAAAGAAACTTACCTAAGGCCGGGCGCTGTGGCTCACGCCTGTAATCCTAGCTCTTGGGAGGCCGAGGCGGGCGGATTGCTCAAGGTCAGGAGTTCAAAACCAGCCTGAGCAAGAGCGAGACCCCGTCTCTACTATAAACAGAAAGAAATCAATTGGCCAACTGATATATATATATATAAAAAAAAAAAAAAAAAAAAACTTACCTAAGACTTGATGAGATTAAAAGGGATTAGTCCCCAATTTGAAGAAAATTCCAGACTCTATATTTCAGTTGCATGGTGAAAATCATGCATTAAACAAAGCCAACAGTAAGATCAGTTAGCTTTGGAAGAGAATGAGAGACACTTGAGTAACAGTAAACGTGGGCTTTAGTTATGCTCTTTCTGTAGATGGAAGGAAAAATTGTAAGAATAAAGTAAAATCAGTTTTAGGTAATTAAGGTGATATGGTAAAGACAAGGCCAGAGACAACTGGGAAGATTTCACCAGGGAGATAGAAGTTGAACTGCATCTTTAAACATCATAGGATTCAAAGAAGAGAGAGTATTCAAGATGAGGAACACAGCACAAGCTCAGGGTAGAAATGAGCTTTACTGATAAGTGAAAAGCATTACCTACTTTGGAAATAAAGTTTGAGGCCAAATTGTGGAATGTTTTGAATGTCAGAATAAAGAATTGAATTTCATTTTGTAGGAAATAATGTACATGTTGCACTAACCAGATGAAAATAGAATTTTAAGAAATTAAAATTAATCTGATAATAAGGTCCAAGATTTAATGGAAATTTCCTTTATTTTAATACTTTTAAGGTTTATTACTGAAAATTATAGATTTTTAAAAATTCAATAATACATGTAAACATATGGCATATATGGTTCAGTCCTATTGAACCATTTAATATATTGTCTATTGAAGTTCTCAATTGTAAAAAAGATGTAATATAGAAAGAATTAATTGTGGCCAATTTTCTCCTAAAATCCTTCAAAAGGAAGTTATATGTGTGTGTGTGTATATTTATATTTACATATTAATCATATGTATAATTTTTTACTAGAATGATCTTAATTGTATTGTGTGTGTAAATAACCAATGTTAATATGTTGCTTAGCTATGTTTTTGAGTATGTTTCACTAGAGCTTTAAAAATTATTACATACAGGCCGGGCATGGTGGCTCACGCCTGTAATCCTAGCACTCTGGGAGGCCGAGGCGGGTGGATTGCTTGAGGTCAGGAGTTCAAAACCAGCCTGAGCAAGAGCGATACCCCTTCTCTACTATAAATAGAAACAAATTAATTGGCCAACTAATATATATATAGAAAAAATTAGCCGGGCATGGTGGCGCATGCCGGTAGTCCCAGCTACTTGGGGGCTGAGGCAGTAGGATTGCTTGAGCCCAGGAGTTTGAGGTTGCTGTGAGCTAGGGTGACGCCAGGGCACTCACTCTAGCTTGGACAACAAAGTGAGACTCTGTCTCAAAAAAAAAAAAAAAACAATTATTACATATATATTTTCTGAAATGTTACTGTTTTGATATTTTAACAATAACTAATTATACTAATTATGACAAATGTTTTTCTAAATTTAATTTCCAATCTGTAGAATTTTATTTTTGATGAACAGTAATTTTGTGAGGGCCTTAAGAAATAATTAATTCAGGTAAAAACCAACAGATATGGTAATTTTTGCAATTGTTTAAGAGAGCTTGATTTGTATAAACTATTTTGGAGTTTTCTGTTGAGTTCACTAATCATTGTGCTCACTTTTTATCTTGAAAAATGTCAGTTACGATGATAACGTTTTATCATCATGGTTTAGAAAACTACTTTCATCCTGTTCTGTGGGACATTTTTAGAGTATTTCTTCTGCAAATAATGGTAGTAATATAGGTAGGGGTTCTGCAGTTTTTAGTAGCTAGCAGATATGTGTACCTTAAGCACAGTCTTTTTTTCATAAATAAAGGCAATAAAACATCTCATAGAACTTTGCTTCTGAGGATTTACATTTATCAGATACTACCTATATAGCATTGCACAAGATATACATGCTAAATATATTTCCCAGTGGGTTCTCTCTGATATCAAAGCAGTAGGTAATAAATGACTGTCAAAATGTGTTTATCTTACAATGGTCTTGTTTATAACACCACACAGATTGTTGCTAGAATGCAGCCAGATCTCCAGAAGCTTGGAATCCATCTAAAGCAGCCCACACTCCTCCCAATCAGGCAAGACACACACAATTCAGAAAATACTTGAGACTGATTATACTATTATATATCAGCACATTTTGGGCATTTTGTGAAGATCATTGACCTCCATGTTACAAAATCCAATGGACATTTTTTCAGTTCTCATTTTCCTTGATCTCTTAGCAGCATTTTACTCTGAGTACCACTGCCTTCTTCTAAAAAGGCCCTCTTCCTCTTTTCCCCACCATTAGTAACACGAAACACACTCCTGGCTTTTCTTCTTAAAACTCAGGAATACTTTCTGGGTCAATCCTCTTCTACCCAGTGTTAGTGGAATTCCTCAATCACTAAATTTTAGGACACTCCCAGGACTTCAGTGATCATTTAACGACTCAGGATCCCCGTAAAGCAGGGATCACAAATTGTTCGCATATTTTTAAATGATGAAAACTGTTTGAATTTAAATACTTTAGGAGAGGCATGGTCCTACTCCCTCCTCTCCCATGGTTCTTGCTCCTTGCAGGCATTTCAGTTAGCCTTTGTGTTGCCCAAGGCATGTACTCCTTCCAGCCTCAGTGTTCCTGCACCCCTCGTTCCATTACTCCCCAGCGCAGCCCCTCCCCAACCACCTCCCATCCCTGTCCTCCACACACAGCACAACTGACACTCACAGGTGAGCTTTCCAGGATGTTTCAGGCCAAGAAATTATCCCTTATAATCATTTCATATCATCCTACCTATACTTTTCTTCCATCACACACAATGCACTTTGTTATTATATATTTGTGTAATTATTTCAATAATATTTGTCTGCCCACTTGACGGTCCCAGCTCCATCAGAGCAGGGATTGTGTGTGTGTGTGTGTGTGTGTGTTTTCTCAATATTGCATTCCCAACATGTAACCCAGTGATTTCATGAATGTTTTAAGGAAGTAAGAGTTCTCTATTTCAAAATTATTGATATATTTTAAACTTCTAAAAATTAGCTGTTTAGACCAGCTGAAATAGTAATGTGCTCTGAATTTTAATCCACTTGAAATAGGCACTTCAATACATTTTATCAGAACAAAGTATCTTTCCACCCTTCATTTACACATCAAATTTTATCATACTCCCCCTATGGTCAGATTCTTCCTATAGTTACACTATAAAGTATAGATGTTGGTAGTCTTCATTGTCACAGCATAGCATAGCACATCTCTTAAAAGAAAGGAGAATTTCCTGAATAGTCAATCAGAGAATTCACATAAAAACCTAAGAACCTTATTTCTAAGCATAAACATTAAGCAATATGCCATTTTAAAAGACTGAATGATATGACTAAATAAAAATGTAAAACTCTTTTGTATTAAAAAACATGTCATCCTCAGAGAAAGTCATCTTGTAAAAAGAAAAAAAATAAAAAAAAAAAACATGTCATATAATAGTAATATAACTGTTAAAAAGAAGATAAAGCCAGGCACAGTGTCTGAGACCTATAGTCCCAGCTACTCGGGAGGCTAAGGCAGGAGGATCACTTAAGCCCAGGAGCTCAAGGTTACAGTGAGCGACAGTGATGCCACTGCACTCCTGCCTGGGCAAACAGAGCAAGATCCCATCTCTAAAAAGAAAAAAGAAGAAGAAGAAGATAAAGATACATGTATTGATATTGGAATATATATGATATAGTAAGTGAAGAATCTAGTTAAAAACAGTATGTGTACTATGATTCCAATTTTGAAAAGAAATGTAATTGGTAGAATATGGATAGGAAAAAAAATTTGTAGGAACATATACCAAATTCTCAATTTGAAAGGATAGACTATGGTATGTTTTATATTTTTATAATTTTTTGTATTTTTACATTGAGCATCTATTACTTTTGTAACGAACATAAAAAACATAAATTTGTCAAAAAAAGACAAACTTTATTGGAACTAGTAATAATATATGCAATATATACAACCATGTTACAAACTCTTCCAAATAAATAACTAGACAAATGCCAAGATAGAAAAATAGACCAAGTACATGAAAAAGAGTTCATAAATAAAAAAAATACAAATAATCAATAAGCATAAAAAAATTTAATTTTCTTTGATAATCCAATAAATGTCAAACATAACATGAATATGGCCTTTTTAAGTTCATTAAATTGGTAGATATTTAAAATATAATTACCAGTAGGCCACTGTCTAGTGGGCAGGCCATGTTGTTTGCTGCTAGAGACCAAAACAGATGGATACAACCTTTTGGAGGACAGTATGGTAATCTGTATCAAAAACACTCAAAATACATATACTTAATTAAAATTTTAGAAATTTATTCTAGGAAAATAATAAACACCACAATGTATATTCTAAGTATATTTGTTATAGAGTTGTCAGGGAAAAATTAAAAATACCTTCATTATTCATCAAAAGGATATGGCTTAAATGAATCTTGATACATTCACACAAAATAATAATGTGTAGCCACTGAAAAATCATGTTTTAGAAGACTACTTAACTTGAAAAATTCATTGTCTTTTATTAAGTAAAAAAAAATAACCAAATTTGATATGTACAGTATGATGCCAATTACTGGTGTTCCTCTATTTACCATGGGGTTAAGTTCTGATAAACTATAATAAGTTGAAAACACCATCAGTTAAAAATGCATTCAAAACCCCATTAAACCAATGGTAAAGTTGAAAAATCCTAAATCCAACCATTGTAAATCAGAGGCCATTTGTATTTGTGAGTGAGGGTGTGTATGTGCATGTGCACATATTAAAAAGACTGATCACGACGTTAACAATGGTTACCCGCAATGGTAAAAAATGAGAATGATTTTTATTCTGTCCTAATTCTTTTCTGGACTTTTCGAAATTTCTATAATTTTCTGAAATTTCCAAGGTTTTTATAATGTATTACTTGTACAATGATAAAATAATTATTTTATTAATAAAAGTTGTTGGCCTATTCTCTGTAAAAAGAATTTGGCAATTGCTCAAAAACTTAAAACACAGGGATGGGGCATGGTGGGGCATGGTGGGGCATGCCTGTAATCCAGCTACTCGGGAAGCTGAAGCAAGAGTACTGATTGAGCCCAGGAGTTGGAGACCAGCCTGGGCAACAACCCAATCTCTAAAAAAAATCTTAAACATAGAGTTACCAAATGATCCAACAAATCTATTCCTAGATATATCTCCAACGCATATAGTCACACAATAACTTGTACACAAATGTTCATGACAGTATTATTCAGAATAGCCAAAAATGGAAATAACCCAAATGGCTATCAACTGATGAACGAATAAACAAAACGTGTGTATCTATATCTCTATACAATAGATATATAATATTCAGCCATAAAAAGGAATGAAGTACTGATTCATACCACAACATAGATGAACCTTGAAAACATTATGCTAAGTGAAAGAAGCCTAACAAAAAGTCGCACATTGTATGATTCTATTCATATGAAATGTCCAGAATAAGAAAAACCACTTAGGTAGAAAGTTGATTAGTGGTTGCCGAGGACTGGGGAGAGGGAGAAATGATGAGTGATTGCTAATGGGTACAGGGGTTGTTTTCAGGTGATGAAAAAGTTCTGGATTGAGATAATGGTGACAGCAGTACAACCTGTGACTATATGGAAAATCATTGAATTATACTCTTTGAAAGGGTGAATTTTATGGTATGTGAGCTATATCTCAATTTTTAAAAGTGGAAAAGGATTGATGGCCTATTAAAGTTTCCAGGAAAAGAATAACATTTTTAAAGAATATGGGACTTTATAAATGAAACCTACAACATGATAGAGCCATGATGGGAGCACAAAGGAAAAATATCTAACAGTGCCTAGGGGTGATAAAAAGGCTCCTAAAACAAAGAGATTCTCAAACTTGTTGAGAATAATAAATAAAAATAACCTTTATTTATTAATTCATTTAACAATAATAATGCATTTTATCACTCAAGTCTCTCAGTGATGACATCCTATATAACTCTAGTACATTATCAAAACCAGGAAATTGATATTGGCACAATACAACTAATACGTTTCTTTTTGGTGGGGGGGAGACACAGTTTTGCTCTGTCTCCCCTCATTTGAGTGCAGTGGTATCATCATAGCTCACTGCAATCTCCAACTCCTGGGCTCAAGTGATCCTCCTGCCCCAGCCCCCTGAGTAGCTGGGACTACAGGTATGCCACCACAGCCAGCCAATTTTTTCTATTTTCTTTTAGAGATGGGGTCTTGCTCTTGCTAAGGCTGGCCTTGAACTCCTGGCTTCAAGCAATCCTGCCTTGGCCTCCCAGAGCGCTAGGATAATAGGCATGAGCCACTGTGCCTGGCCTGTTTTGGTTTGGTTTTGGTTTTGGTTTAAGATACAGAGTCTCACTTTTTCACCCAGGCTAGAGTGCAGTGGTGCCATCATACCTCACTGCAGCCTCAAACTCCTGAGTTCAAGGGATCCTCCTGCCTCAGCCTCCCAAATAGCTGGGACTACAGGCATGTACCACCACATCCAGCTGTTTTGTGTTTTTTTATTGAAAAGACAGTATAACACCAAGGTAAAAAGTTTTAAGTAAATGATCAGAACTACCTACAGTTTGACTTACAAAATTAGTCTGATTTTGATGTTGCCTGACATAGAAATACATTAAAATTTTATTATAAAATAGTTTAAACATACAACAATTGATAATCACAAAATCACTATGTATCTGCATTGCCTCCACGTATCTTTTAACACTTTACCACTTACATTATTACTCATAAAAATATGTAGTATTATTTGCAGGTTTGAAAGCCTTATGTAAAAATTGCATCATAATATATAAGGATGCACATTTTTATATATAAATGTTTCTATCATGGGACTCATGCTGTCAATTGCTAGTTGAGGAATAAACTTTGCTACTCTCTCTGCTAACCAACCTTTTTCAGGAAGGGATTGCCACGGAGGTTAGAGCTGAGACTCTAGAGAGGGCTTGCCTGGATTAGAATCCAGAATATTCTATTCACCAGCAGTGTAACATTGGACAAATTACTTGAGTGCTCTGATCCTCATGAGTTTTCTCACATGTAAAATAGAGATAGTGGCAATCCCTATTTCACAAAGTGGTTTGAGTATATATTAAGAGAACGTGTGTGAAGTACTTGGTCCAGTGAAGTAGGAAGTGCTCAATGTCTTTATTATTGTGAATCTGGACATTGCTCTGTCTTCCTACAATGAAACAGAGTGGTGCACATAACCAGGGCTAACTCACAGGTTGGGGAAGCTAGCATGTTTTCTACTGCTCTCTCAGGGTTGTGCTCATAAATATTATAGTTAACAATCAGCTTTGAACAGGGGAGGGGGTGGGGAGCTCTGCTTTGTGATGTTTGCCAATTTCCATGGTGTAAATACTCCCACGATGGCTGATTTTAAGGTACCAACTTGCCTTCAGTGAATGCAGAGCTGGGAAGCAGCTCTCCTGAGCCAATGTGAGCCAGCTCCAGCATACCCAAGAGAGTCTCTCATCCTTTTTTGCTGCCTCTTTGTTCACTGCTGAAACAGGATCTGTTCTCTCTCAGGCAGAGCACAAGGCATCCCTGTTTGATGTGCTCTTGCTGAGGTAAGAGTCTATTTATGCCTGGGAGAGAGAGGAAACCTACAGTTCTGAAGCCCAAAGCAGTGCTCAGGCCCAACTTATCAGAGCACTCATAGCAAAGTGGTACTTTCATTCTCATTTGCTAGGGTCCCTTATGTGTCTGTTTTTTCTTGGGGGTTCTGGGGTGTGGCTGTGGCTACCATCTAGGGTAAGATTCTATCAGATTTGCATCATGTGGCTATAATGCCTTCTTAAGACCAATAGCACCTCACCCTGATTTTTAACATAGAATATAATACATCTACTTAAGATATTGAAGTAATCATTTCTGCATCTTTCCATGGTCTTCAGAATAATACCTCGTAATGGTTGCATAATTTGGTCAACACACCTAAATGTAAGGTGTATGTAAGAAAAAAGCTAAATCCTCATGTGGCTCCTCGTACAAGTCCCTATTTGGGGAACAAATGATTGTGCTACCTTTGCATGGTCAGGATACCATGGCTGGTAACCATATGTCCCTGGGCAGGCAGTACCTCTAATACTAGGTATGCCAGAGGTGACGTTTTTTAAACTGGAGAGTGGGGCAGGAGTAAAGGGGGAGAGAAATAGAAAAAGTAGCATAAACCTAGAAAAAGAATAAGAATTTCAAGAACTGAGTATAGTCTTAAATGTTGACCAAAAAAATAAATAAATAAATTGAACCCTGAAAAATTACAATAGAATCTTCCAATTAGGTTACTAATGATTTTAGGAAAATAAAGTTCATCTCTGTATTGGGGCCAGAGTAAGGTAGGAACAGTAAAAGGGTTACGATCAAGTGTTTATTATGTTCCAGGGACTGTGTTAGGTTCTTTTCTTGCTTTATCTTATTTTAGAAGTCACAGGGGGAAACTGAGGCTTGGAGTAGTTCATTAACCTGCCCATGGTCACACAGGGCAGGTCCCCCAGGTCGATCTTCACCCCACTGCAGTCAGGAGTGAAGGAGGATTAAGGAAGCGCAGACAGGAGTATGAACCATTCTTTCTGGAAGCATGATGGGGAAAAAAGAGAGAGAAAGAGCAGTAGATAAAGAATAGGGACATGAAATCACTGCTTTTATAATCAAAATAAGGCTCAGCTCCTCGAGGCTGACAGTGAAAAAGATTCCCCACGTGACTGCGGGGGCCAGAAGCAGAGAGACCACAAAATCCTGGCCCCTGGCCCAGGGAGTCATCTTTCTCTTGAGAATCACTCACTGATGATTTTGGCTCCATCAGAGCCTCCTTGGGTCATTTCTGCCTTTCATCTCCAAGGCACAACCATGAGATGACAAGGGGCATTTCTCAACATCCATGGCACAACCAAGCCAAAGCTGGAAAGTTAACAACTTTTCTAAAGGCAAGGATGATGTTTCCCAACCTTCTGAGGTCATAGAAACTGCCCTGGACACCAGTTTAAATATACAGAATCTCAAGGAACTTGGATTCAGGAGATGTGCAGGAGGCCTGGAAATAGGTATTTTAAACTAATGCCAGTTATCCTCAAATTCCTGCAAGTTCTAGTATCACTGTGTTGGCAAGTAACAAAGAGAAATAAACATAGTAGCATAAATCCATGTAGTCAGGCTCACAAGAAAAGGCCACTTTTAACCCTATGCTGCAGTCCTCACCCTACCTCTGTGTGTTTGATGCTATGGTGGCACATGTTTGCTATTTTTATCTCCTAGAAAATGTCTGGGCCCAAGAAAAAGAGGCCCTTTGCCAAATTATAAGATAGTAAAGGAGGAAGGGAAGGTGGCTAGAAGGCTTCTTCCATTCTTAACATTTTTCAAAGACTAGGGTTTTGTTGTTGTTGTTGTTTGAGACGGTGTCTCGCTCTGTTGCCCAGGGTAGAGTGGAGTGACATCATCAAAGGTCCTTGCAACCTAGAATTTCTGGGCTCAAGTGATCCTCCTTTCTCAGCCTCTGAGTAGCTGTGACTACAGGTATGCAACACCACACCCAGCTAATTTTTTAATTTTTTGTAGAGACAGGATCTTGCTATGTTGCTCAGGTTGGACTCAAACTCCTGGCCTTAAGCGATCCTCCTGCCTCGGCCTTCCAAAGTGCTAGGATTACAGGCACCAGGCACAGCGCCCAGCTAGGCTATTAGTTCTTAACCAGCACACCATGTAAGCCATCTACCACACAGACAAGAACAGCTTTGCCTACCTGTCCACTTCTTTGTTGTCCCTCCAGCACTAGGTGGCAGTAGGATGGCAGCCAGCTTTCTCCTACAGGCTGCTCAGTCTAACCACACATTAGTCTTAGAGAGAGTGATCATATGTCCAGGTTTGCCTGGGTAGAGTCCTGACCTACTCCTTTGAGCCCAGGCTCCCCTCTGGTTCAGTGTCTTTCACATTCTCATTCATTCATTCCCAGTTTGGATGATAAATTATATAGTCACCCTGTCTGTGAACAACAGAGCTAGAACAAAAACACAACTCCACAAAAGCAAGACATAGACTGCCAGCAATTTAATAACTTCCATTTATCAGGCAAATCACTCTGTGACACCACACACATCAGTTCAACTAATCCCCATGGCACCCTCACAAGAGAGTCTTGGAAACGTGAATTCTGCAGATGAAGAAAGCAAAACAGGGTGAAGCGAATTTACCAGGGTCCACTATGAGGAGCAGAGCTAGGTTCCAATGTCCATCTGCATGACCCCAACTTCTGCTCTTACTGGGGCCCACTGTCTCCTGGGCATGTGGCCCCCCTACCCACCCACTTCTGACTGTGCTAAGAAATAGAATTTTACCAAGAAAGTTGATTGGTTTTAACACAAAAGGAATACTCTCAATCTTCACAGTTTTTCATCTCAAATTTGAAAGTAGAAATCTGCTTTCTGCAGCTGTGTCTCTGATTCAGCTCTTGTTTCTGTAACCTAGTTTGAAAGAAGAAACACTTCCAAAAGAAGCAACCAAGTCTACAAAGGCACAGTTTGACTCAAATGGATCCAACCGATTAGCAAATGGAAAATAACACTGAGGAACAAGTTTTGCATCACAAGCATAGCAGCTCCAAGTCACCCCTATGGAAGCTAAAGCTTTAAGTGCAACCCAGAGAAGGGATGGTCCAGAATCTCTGCTTTATATTTGCATAGCTTCACCGTCCAAGCCAGTTGCTCTCCACAAAAGGTGACTTAAAGTCATAGTCTTTGCTTTCATCACCATATTGTCCAGAGTTTTACAGATTTTTCCTTTCTTTTTAAAAAAAAGGGTAATTTTTAAAATTCTGATTGTTAATTCAAAATGTACTCTTCTTAATGCCTTCTCTTTGAAAAAAACAAAATTCACACATAGGCCTAAGTGGCCACTGCTCAATACCACAATCTCAGACCTGAGATGCACTGTCATTGGTTAGTTTGTTTGGTTTTTTGTCCTTCCAGATGTTTTTTTAACCAGGAAATCATTTTTCTACCTTATACCTTCTCTTCTTTCTACCTATAAAGCTTCCATTATGGGAGTATTTCATTCCTCTCTGCACACTCCATCGTAGGGAAGCTGCTAAAACCCCAGAGCTCCAAGGGGCCGGCAGCAGCCCCTCTCTCCTTCCAGGTCTTTGTTCAGCCAACAGAGTAGTTAAGCACAGGCCTCTGGAGTCAGAATGCTGCATGTGAATCTGGGCTTGTTAGCAGAGTGACCTTGGGCGAGTTTGTTCATTCACTATTCATGTGGCAACATTTGAGCTCTTCCCTCTTCCTCCACAGCCCTCATCCTAGCCTGTGCCACCATGATTTACTGCTCCTGTCTTTGATGAAGAGCCCGTTTGCAGCCACATCAGTCCTTCTACACCATCACATCACTGCTCTGCTCACATCCCTCCACCAGCTTCCCTCCCACTCTCAGAGTCCAAGGCCCTGGGCTGGGAGCCTACACGTTCCAATGCAGTCTGCCCTGCCCGCAGCTCCTGCCCATGGCCTCTCTGACTTCTGTGTACTCTCTCCGCCCTGGCCCCATCAGCCCCTTCATGCTCCTCAAACATGCCAAGCTCGCCTCTTCCTTAGCACCTTTGCATTTGCTGTTCCCTCTGTCTGGAATGTTCTTGCTCCAGAACCTACTTGGCTCACTCCTTCCTCTCCTTCAGCTTTCTGCTCAAATGTCACCTTCCCAGGAAGGCCTTCCTGGCCACCCTATCACAAAGAGTGGCCCGGCCCCTCACTGCCACGTGGTGCTCCCTAGTCTCCCTCCCCGCTTCATCTCTCTCCACACCATTTGTCGCCACCTGACATGCCACGTGTTTCTCTGATTACTGTCTCCTCCCCCTAGAATGTGAGCTCTGCACAAGAGCAATATGCCAACAGCTAGCAGCGTGCCTGGCACACAGCTGGCCCTCCATAAACACTGGCTGAGTGAATGGATGAAGCGTCTGCACACAGCACTCAGGAGCCAGATCACATAAGGCCTTGTAAGCTCTGGAAAGGACTTTGGGTTTTTGTTTTAAACATGAAGGGAAGCCATTGGAAAGTACATAATCTGATGCACAGTTTAAAAAGATCACTCTGGCCACTGTTTGGGGGGAAATCTGTACTAAGGGTAAGAGTGGCTCTGGGGGCAGTTTGGAGGCTAATGCAACATCCAAGCAAGAGAGATAATAAGGACTTCAACTAGGATGGAAGAAAAAGGTCATATTAAAGAATATATTTTGGGCCAGGCGCGGTGGCTCACACCTGTAATCCTAGTACTCTGGGAGGCCAAGGCAAGAGGATCACTTGAGCTCAGGAGTTCGAGACCAGCCTGAGCAAGCGTGAGAACCCATCTTTAAAATAAATAAATCTATATCCATAGATATAGATAGATAGATATTAGAATTATAGCTGACAGAACTTGTTACTAAATTGGATGAAGGGTCTAAGAGGAATTGAGGATAACTTCCAGGTTTGGGGCCTCAATACTTACTTAGTCTTTCTGAGTCTGTCTCCTCTTCTGTAAAATGGGGATGGTTAGAGCACCACCCTCATGGGACTGTTACGAGGAAGTGGCTAGAGGAAGCACAGGGCTCACACTGTGTTGGCACGTGGCAAACCCTCAGTACATGTTAGCTCTTATCATTGCCTCAAAGATAACAGTGTTTTTATAAACAAAATTATAAAAATATCCACCCCACTGAGACTGAGGGTAAAAAACTTTTTGTAGAGTGTACCCCACCCTCCTAAGGGATAGACTTTTGCTTTTTTTAACAGAATATTTAACGGTCATGTTGGAACATTTTACTTTACATGGATAAATAAAAAGGATTCCTCACATTTCAAAATAATCATAAGGCTCTTTTAAGTAGTGCTTGTCCATTCAATACTTAGTAGAAAGAGTAACTAAAAGCTGAAATTACAAACCTCTGCTGATTAAAAATCAATCAAAACGTCAGATAAGGCACATCTGAAATAATAATGATTTAAAAAACAACAACAACAGGCATTTACTGCATTTTAACACAACAGTAGTTAAAATACCACGCTGTCCAGTTCAATACAGGACACCTGGCAACCCTACTTGTAAGTGTAGCTCAGCTTTCTGCAAAGCCAACGCCTGGCCCTTTTTGGCTACACTGGCCTGTCCTCATTTCCCCCTGGAAAACTTTTAAACTTAGTACAGATAACATTCTGCCTCTATTACAATTAGCAGCTTCTCTCAATAGGCCATCTAGTTTGGCAAGTGCTTGTGTGGAGTAACCCAGTACCTTCTTTCAAAACCTCCCAATGGTTACTGCAGGTAGCACGGGAGAAGCTGCCTGTGGGGAATTTAGCAGCTGCTTCAGGCCCTCAAGCAACTTTCTTGCTAGCATCTTCCTCTGCCTCTCCAGATCTCCCTAATTATTGGTGATCTGGGCACCCTACCTAACTGAAAACCAGCCATTCTTCTTCCTAGATCCCAGGGAGATTGATGAGAGGTCCCTAAATCTGGGATCCCTTTCCCTCCTTGCCCCATAATTGAACTCCTCCTTAAATCCTTTTACTACCTAGGAACCTGCAAAGGCAACCTTCAATTTCAGCTGGAGCTGGAAGGATTCCTACCAAACCATTTGCCCCATGCGTGAGTCTCTGCTACACCACCTCTACTGTTCAGCTTTTTCTATTCTCAAGTCTGGAAGACATCCTTGCTTCTGAACCTGGGGTCTAAGAACCAGCTCACGAGGGAGCTTGTTAGAAATGCAGAATCTGAAGCGGTATTGTGGACCTATTGAATCAGATTCTGCATTTTAACAAAATCCCCAGGTGATTCCCAGACATCTGCAAGTTTGAGAAGCCAGAAAAGTGCTCAGGCCCTTCTCTTCCCATTGGCTGGGGGGAATTCTTGTAACTTGTCCTGTTTAAGAGCCCTCAATATTTAACCTCACTTTGTTGTCCTCACTTTCCAAAAAAATCCTGAGAGCTTCCTTACAACACAACACCATCCCTGTCCTGTCCCCTCAAAGCTGGGGCTTCCTTTTTGCACCCCCTTCCTTTCTGCAAGACCGCCCCTCCCCCCAGTTCCTCCTCTCAGGAGGAGTTTTTCTGCCTTGCTTCTCCACCAGAAGGGCCTCTGATATTAGTGAAGGTGCCACCTCGCCAGCACCTCTCAGAGCTGCTCTAGCATGTCCAGTGATAGCCCCTGACTCTGGTCCTCGCCCAAGGTCTGAGTGGGCCTCTCACTGGGCTACGGGACTCCCTTTCCCACGGCTCCCCCTTAAGTCGAGACTTCCCACACCACATGAACATGCTGTTCCTCTTTCCTGCCCACCCCGGCAGACAACAGACAACGAGAATACAGCCCAGGAACAGCTGCTTTCAAATGGGAAGCTCCCAAGGAAAAGGAGTGGGTGCCCATTGAGACCTAGCCTTGAAGAAGGTCGTGTTTTCCCTGAAACAAGGTGAAGGCTGATGGGGGAGATACATTAGAAATGCTTTAAGCATTTGATTCTTCGAGGGTTTGGGGATTTGTGTTTGAGGTAGTTTTTTTTAAGCTTTCCAAAGTGAGAAAGGTATCAGATAGCTTTTCTGAACTGTGGAAATCAGAGTCTTTTTCTGGAGTCATAACATAAGGCTTTTGGGCTCCCAGTCTGGTGGTCTGGGAGCCCAAAACAGTCTTAAACCGTTTGTGCCAGTTTAAGTTCATTAATCAACATTTCTTCTTACTCCTTTATCATGTATTACACAATTGATTTCTCCCCAGAAAAAGACATATTAAAAGCCTACTGGCTGGGCGCAGTGGTGGCTCACACCTATAATCCTGGATCCTAGCGCTCTGGGAGGCCGAGGCAGGAGGCTCATTTGAGCTCAAGAGTTTGAGACCAGCCTGAGCAAGAGTGAGACGCCACCTCTACTAAAAAAATAGAAAGAAATGAGCTGGATAACTAAAAATATATGGAAAAAATTAACCAGGCATGGTGGTGTATGCCTGTAGTCCCAGCTACTTGGGAGGCTGAGGCAGTAGGATTTCTTGAGCCCAGGAGTTTGAGGTTGCTGTGACCTAGGCTGATGTCATGGCACTCTAGGCCAGGCAACAGAATGAGACTCTGTCTCAAAAAAAAAAAGCCTACTTCCAACCTTCAACCTTTTAAAAAGTACCCTTGGAATGTTATTCATATTCACTATTAAAATAGTGTCTTTACAAAGTGTTATGTATTTTATTTAGCAGACAGTTATTATCCAGTTATTATCATACTTTTCACATACCAAGGACTCTCCTACAGGCTTTACAAAGATTAACTCATTTAATCCTTAAAATAATCCAATGAAACAGGTACTATTATTAACTTCATTTGTAAATGAGGAAATGAAGGCACAGAGAGCTTAAGTAATTTCCACAAGGTTACACAGCTAGTAAGTAATGACCAGAATTCAAACCTAGATAGTATGGATGGGTCACAGCCATATACTGAACCACAGACTATGTGGTTCATACTGAACCACTCAATCATAGACTTAATTTCAACTTAAGTGCTGCCTCTCTAAAGAGCCTGAAAAAGATATGTATATTTATTATATATTAAAATATTTTTATTTTTATATTTTTTAATTTTTTTAATATTTCTACTTAAATGTGTGTATGTATATATACACACACACAAACATATATACATATATAGGGAGAGAAAGAGAGAGACAAAAAGAGAAAGAATGAGAAGGATCTAGGTGCATTTCTCCAAATGGCTTCCTTTCCACATGTTTTCAACACACACCTAAAGTCCAATTTTGAGAGAAGTGTAATTATTCTACAGATACAGCCTCTTGAGTCTAAAGGCTCAGTTTTATAAACCTCAGTTTCCAGGCCGGGCGCTGTGGCTCACGCCTGTAATCCTAGCTCTTGGGAGGCCGAGGCGGGCGGATTGCTCAAGGTCAGGAGTTCAAAACCAGCCTGAGCAAGAGCGAGTCCCCGTCTCTACTATAAATAGAAAGAAATTAATTGGCCAACTGATATATATATAAAAAAATTAGCCGGGCATGGTGGCGCATGCCTGTAGTCCCAGCTACTCGGGAGGCTGAGGCAGAAGGATCACTCAAGCCCAGGAGATTGAGGTTGCTGTGAGCTAGGCTGACGCCACGGCACTCACTCTAGCCTGGACAACAAAGTGAGACTCTGTCTCAAAAAAAAAAAAAAAAAAAAACCTCAGTTTCCTCGTGTGAGAAATGAGGTAGTTGGAGTAGATGAACTAGCCCATCAAGTTCAGTGTTAAGGGGCCTTGCAATTTAAAAATTATTAAAATTTCCAGAAGACTGACCAGGCAGCATTTCTTTTTTAGGTTTGACTAGATGAGATGTCATGGCTTAGTATTCTAATTTAAGCTAACTCTGGACCGTTCTTGTGCCTTTTAGACTAATCTTAATGAGGATTTTTTTTCTGTGCAACCGATGACATCCTAATGTGTTTATGCCAGTTTAAGTTTAAATTTCTAGGCGGTCTTGGGCCTGCCGGTTTACCGAAAACATAACGCAAGTAAACAAGCGATGGCAAAGGAAACACAGCGCAGCTACTGATGCAGGAGCGCCCTCTTCCGGCCATAGGAATGTGACCTGTCTCAGGGTAGCTCTTCTGCTCTTGGTGTACAGCACACACTTGGGCCACTCCCTTCTGTAGCATTCCAATCAAGCGACATTTATCAGTGACCTGGAGCTAGATACAGTGTACTTAGGGCTGGGATACAAAGATAAATAAAAGCATCCCAGCCTTAAAGGATCTCAGTCTAATGGGACACACCCACATCAGATCGTTATAATGCAACTTGAGAGGTGTGTCACTGGAGCTGTGCCTCATGTCCCTCTTAGTTTGCGACCACAAGTTACACATAAGAGCCCAAATCAAACAGCACAGCACAATGCTCTTTTGTTAGGAAAGGAGTGACTCACCCTAGCATTTTCTCTGTGCACAGAAACAGATGACCTGCACAGAAGCAACAAGGCTAATGGGTGCTGTCCTGGCAACCCAGGCACCCTGGGAGCAGTCCTGGCAGCCAGCTCTCCAGGGTGGACATGAGGACCTGCAGAAAATGGTCAGGATTAAACAGGCAAATGGCATAGGTTAAGAACAGCAGTCTGGAGGATATCTATGCATTTTGGTATGAAATTAATAAGCACACTTAAAATATACAACCAAGATCTCTGACACTTTTTGTAACAAGATTCTAGCTTATCTTTCCACTAGATCTTGTTGGATTTCTTTCTAATGGAATTTCATCTGGTTGGTCGCAGTTTTCAAACTAGGCCAGGAGCTCCCTCAATTTCTAAAATACAAAAGTTCTTTCTACCCCTCTTCTCAAATCTTAGATTCTGGACATACCCAGAAATTCCCTGGGCCTTTTAACTCCATTAATTTGTTAACACTTTGTCTCTTCTAGCAACAATTTCCTTTCACTTTAGAGAAATTTCTGCTGGTAATGCACCACTATAAGCCAGGAGAAAAAAAGAACTTGAAAGAAGAGGAAGAACATGTTTTTCTTACTTTTTTTTCCAAAACAGGTGAGGGGAGAAAATAAAGCAGGTGGAGAAATACACTACTTAATGCAGTTCAGTAACTGGGAACCAATTTCTTGGAAACATGGCCTACAGGAATACCCATCTTAACATCAGAAGGTGGATATAATTACCACTGAAGGCGTTTAACAAACCTCTAAAACAGTTCCTATGAAGAGTACACTTCAGAAAAATCTATGCAAAGAAGTAAAAAACGAAAGAAAGACAAAACTTGAACCTCATGAGAGTGGAGAGAATGCAAAAGGTAAGAAGGGGGAAAGGAGGTCAGGGAAGCAGAAAGGAACAGGAAAAGAATATGGATGGTCACGGGGCAGGAATTTGCAACATTGTGAACATCTTAAATTTACCATTAAAATTTAAGAAATATATGTCTTTGAAAAATGCAGGCAATTCAGAAGTACACCAGGTAAAATGTGGAAACACTTTTTTCACAACCTACACACAACATCCCCACTACAGAGGTGGGAGAGGTTAGGGTGAAGCTGGAGGCAGTATTCTGATAGGCTTCATATATCTGTACCAGTGAGAGTAGTCATAATGTTAGATGAATATATTTGAATGGTACTAAGTACACAAAACTCATGGTAACTAATATAGTTTTCCCACAATTTTGGTCTTACCAACTTGCAGTTGAAACATTTTTATATTCCTTTTGTAATCATCTGAAGATAATGAACTAAATGCTAGCCATTGTTTTCCAGAGTAGAATTTTTGGAGTTACTGGTAGTTTGGAGAATTTCCATCTTATGATGTATCTTTTTATATAGCTTTGTGTGTGTACATATGTATATGTATGTATGTGTATACATATAATAATAAAATATTTACATTACCATATTTGATCTTCACTTAACAGGAGTGTAGCATTTCAGATGCAGCTTCTGACTTTAGAATATGGAACTTTAGTCTCATCTGTGCAGTACCTGGACATTGTGATGTCATTAAAATACAATATTAAAATACCCTTTAAAACTTTTATTATAGAAATTTTCAATCATACACTAAAATAGAGCAATACAGAATCCCCAGGTACCTATCACCCAGCCCCAACAATGTTCTTCTGAGTAAAATGCATTTAAGATTCACCCATGGTGTTGTACAAATCAATAATCTGTTCCTTTTTATTGCTGAGTAGTATTCCATTGTATGGATTACCAGAGTTTATTCATACTAAATAATATTCCATTATCTAGATGTACCACAGTTATTTATCATTCACTTGCAGAAGGACATCTTGGTTGCTTCCAACTCTTCCAATTATAAATAAAGCTGCTATGAACACCCATGTGCAGGTTTTCACATAGACACAAATTTTCAGTTCATTTGGGTAAGTATCAAGGAGCACATTTCTGGATTATACAGGAAGAATATGTTTAGTTTCATAAGAAACTGCTAAACTGTCTTCCAAAGTGGCTGTATCATTTTGCATTTCACCAATAATGTATGAGAGTTAAAGAGACATAATCTCAGGTTTGCCACTTACAGTGATACTAAGCTTATTTAGGTTATAGTTTTAGCACTCATTAATGATTCATTATGTCATTATCACATTTAGCCACTTGAATTCTTCAGTAAAGGAGAACTTTCTATCATCAACTACTTGGTTGCCCTAAAATGACTTTAGCTCTTCAATCCAGGCAGCAGGGACTGTTGGAGACTAAGACCCTCTACATTCCAACAACTTGTCCTACACACGGGCCTCTCGCCCCCCCCCCAAAATAGCCTAAGACGAAAATAGCACCCAGCCCTCCAGCTATAGTTCCGAGAAGAATGCATTCCATGACGTGCTTGCTCCAGGGCATGCTACCTGCAATTGTTCCATGACGTGCTTGCTCCAGGGCATGCTACCTGCAATTGTTCCCGATCCCCTGCCAGGTTGGGGTTGAGTGATCAATCACAAACAGCTTCCGGTGCCATTGGGATGCTGATTGGGGCTGATTAGCCCACACCCAAGCCTCATCATCCCCCCACTCTATTTTTCTGTTTCTACTTCCTTGTTTCTGTATATAAAACCTACTAAAAATCCAAGTAAAGTAGACCTTGACAACCATTTGCTTGGTCTCGTTCCTTTCTCTGGCCCATCTCTTTCAGGCACGGTCCCCCTCGCCCACCGCAAGTAACAAAAGGTCCCGAGTAACAAAAGGTCCCTCGGGCCAGGACAAGGGACCTCTCTCCTGAGCTCCTTGCTTCAGAGGCCTTGCATTTTGGAGTGCCTTCCTCAGAATGTCGAGTCTCGCTCTGGTGCCAGGCACTAACCAGGGCTATCAGGGCTATCCAGGTGATGTGTCCCAAGCCCAGGCTGGGACTTGTGTATGTCCCAGTTTCTGTTTTTCCCCTTCAGGGTATTCCACAATCCTCTACCTCACACTTGGGGTGGACCAGATGCCCTGAGAAGAGACAAGAATCAGAGCCATAGGGTCCAAAAAGGTGACCTGGTAACAAATTGACCCTGTTGGCACAGTATTTCTTTCCAGAGATTGTGCAAGATTGGGTTGTCAGATGGTGCTGGCAAGCTGATTTTGAATAACTCTTGGCTCTGGGCTACCTGCTGTCTACTATCAATCCTTGGGCTTGAGCCATGCATGTGACCTCTGTGTCCTACAGCACCCCATGAACCTCATGTCTCTGGCACACAGGGCTCTGTAGCACGTCAGACAGTCCTCCAGGAGTGGCAGAGCCTATCTTCCTTGAGAGCTTTTGAGACCATACCTCTGCAAGGTCACTGGGCCCTTCTAATTAATATCCTGTCCTGCTTCCTATTAACATGGTGACATCATGCTCTCCCTGAAGTTCTCCTGGACAAAGGAGGGACATTCCTCATGTAAACAGGATGGCGCTCCTCACTCGCCCCATGGGCCTCTCACCTATCCCCCCTACTGGTGGTGGGTATATGAAAGGCAGGAATGCGGTCAACACAGAAACATTCTAGGAATATAAAGATTACTGTCTAAAGAGTTCAAGAGAAGACATAGTTAAAAGATGAGTTGCTCTACATTATGCTAAAAAATTCCAAATAGTAAATTTAGCATGACAAGAAAACAAAGATTGTTCATATTTTTCTACATAATCTGGGTAAAACTTGTGTTTGTGGTCATGACCAATGAAGCACACTACCAACCTATGAGAGACACACAAAAACACAACACTCGGGCACAACAAAAAAAAAGACACACCCACAAGAGATATGAGAACAACAAAAAAAAAATAGAGAAAAAAAAGATATATAGTGTCAAAACAAAAAAACAATAAAAAAAAACAGCACAGTGAGAAAAAACACAAGTGCTACTTGTTTCTCACAGTGAGAGATATGAAATTAACCAGAAATGGCGCATTGACAACAAAGAACACGAAGAGATGGTTCCTAGACATTACAAGAAATCTTTAAATGCACTAATTGGACAATAAACAAATATGTAACTACCTCTTACCTACCAACTACTCTAAATCTTTATCAATAAATTACTATATTTCATATGGGCCCATGAATTTTGTAATCCATTTTCTAAATGAATTGTTATATAGACAGGGGCCCCATAAAAATATTTACCAATTTTACCAAGAGCCATACACACCCTAGGGCCAGCCCTGCCTGAAATACAGTTTGTATGGAAAGGCAGGAGAAATGCCTTCTTACAAAGGAATGAGTTGATGCCCTAGCAATTTCCTTTGGTGACCAATAAATTTCTTTCTCAGTATCATTATAAACTCACTAATTATCTGTAGGATTTTTAAAAATTTGATGTTTCCATCAATTCCTTTTGATGTTCAAATAGTTCCATCTTAGGTCAGTGGGAACCTGTGTTCTTTTGAAATGTTCCTATTAGTCTTTGATAGCTTCCTTGCTTTCAGTCCAATTCCAGATTTATCTTGTTATCCTTCCTGCCCTATACCTGGAACCAGCCATTTCTCCAAGGTTGCATGATTCCTTTTAGCAGGAAATTTTATTAGAGACCAAAATCTGAGTGCTGGGCACACTCACTGCAATTGAATTGTTATTTATTATAAGCCTTTTCATTGAAGAAGCTAGAATTTTTATTTATTTTGAGACAGAGTTTCACTTTGTTGCCCAGGCTAGAGTGAGTGCCATGGCGTCAGCCTAGCTCACAGCAACCTCAAACTCCTGGGCTCAAGCAATCCTCCTGCCTCAGCCTCCCGTGTAGCTGGGACTACAGGCATGTGCCACCATGCCTGGCTAATTTTTTATATATATATTATGTGGCCAATTAATTTATTTCTAGTTTTAGTAGAGACGGAGTCTCGCTCTTGCTCAGGCTGGTTTCAAACTCCTGACCTGGAGCAATCCGCCCGCCTCAGCCTCCCAGAGTGCTAGGATTATAGGCGTGAGCCACCACACCCAGCCTAGGAGCTAGAATTTTTAAAAGAAAAAAAATCATGTACAGTCATGGCCTTACTCTGAATAATCTAATCTAATCCAATCCCTATTCTATACACCCTCTTGCACTGAAAGATAACACTGAAAGATTGCCTGTTTTAGAATCAGATAGTCCTCATTTCTGGTTGTTGCAGCATTTATTAGTTGTGTACCTTTGGTTAAATTACTTGACCTTTCTAAATCTCAGGTGTCCACATCTTTTAAATGAGGATCATAATCTCTACCGTGTTGTTATGAAGCTCTAATAAGGTGACACATGATAAACCTTGCCCCGACTGATGAGCATTAGTACCCATCCAATCGTATTAGCCAAGATCTCAGGACCTTATGCTTGATACGCTTCTCTTCCTTACTCCTCATATTCAATGCGGCTCCTAGTTCCATGGATTTTACCTTCTAAATATCCCTTGAATGTGGGGAATTTACATGTTAAATACCTCAAGAATCTGTCCTTTCCTTCACCACTACCCCCTCCTGATGAGCACGCACATGCACACACACACACACACACACACACACACACACCCAACTTAATGTTGCTTTATAATAGCGATTTCTGATACAGTGGGTATGCACAGAACAGGGTTCATCTGAACTTGACTAATGGTGAAAAATGAGAGTCCCCATCTCTATAAAAAAAAATTTTTTTTTAATTAACCCAGTCTAGTGGTGTGCCTGTAGTTCTAGTTACACATGAGGCTGAAGCAAGAAAATTGCTTGAGCCCAAGAATTCAAAGTTACAAATTTCAAACCTCATCTTAGTACAATAAGTGAAGATATAATGATTTGGGATTTTTGCCCCCATCAGATCAAAATTTTAATTTCCATAATTTGAAATCATGAAAATTATCGAGTTCCTGATATTAATGCCAAATGACGTTGTTCCCACTCAATTGAGGATAATCAAAACTATAAACTTTCTTTCAGCTTTGGTCCTACTCTCTTTCCCAGCAACGAGCCATGTAGATCATACAAGGTAGGGAACTGTTATAATAGGACACAGACTAAACACCTGGTCTTCCTTTCTATCAGAGAAGACAGCAATTGTACAGAGGGAAGTGATTGGGAAAATATAAAATTTATGTAGAAAGATAAATACAGTAGTCCAAAAGCAGGTTGCTGATTCAAGAATTAGGAGAGTAGTTTTCAACTGGAATGGTAGCAGTCCCAGGGACATTTTGCTTGTCTCAATGATTTGGGCAGTAGGGTGCAATAGTGGCATTTAATGGATGGGGGCCAGGTGGGACTGTCCTGCCCAGTGAAGCATTTTCCTATATTGTGTTGGAAATGTCACACTAGAAATTCAGGAAAGTGAAAACCCTCTTTATCATAATCTGAGCCTAGAAGCCAACCCTTTTTACATATAAATACACAATAAAAAATTGT